AATAAATTTTTCCCTTTTTTCTTTTTAGCGGTTTCGGTTTAAGGTATACCATCGTAGTGTGATGGGTTTATTTTACAAATTTCAGGCCAGTTTTAGAAAAAAAAACGGTTTCACTCAAATTTCAGCCGGCGAACGAAGTGAAAGTGTGAGTGGTCTGTGAGGGGTCTGGTACCAAGTAATGCCTAAAACCTTTGCGGACCTCTCGCGAACTCATAGGCACCGCAGACTTTATAAGCGCGGGCCTCTCAGCTCCAATAAGGGCTTGCTAGCATAGTACTCAAATTTATGTTTAGAAAATTAGCAGCCCAAGACTTCACGGTCACATCTTGCTAGACAGCATTTGCCGAATTTAAGCTAATTGTGACTTACTTTCAGATCGAGCCATATACTAATCGAAATCACTTCACATCGTCTAGCATGTGTTACGGTATAATTTAGCCGACAGAAAGAAGACTACACTCCTACAAGCCCAACTACTTTGTCGAACAACGTACAATATTCTTAGTAAAGAGCGTGGATTCCTAAAGGCAGTAACGTAATCATCCTCAATAAACTTACTTAAGCCCACTACAAACTATAACTTAGCTCACCACTGACACAAACTCAGTTGTCTTCAAATCTCCCTGAAACGAAAAATCTTCCACACTAGCTTTCCTTTTCGGTATAGCTTTCAAACAATAACAACTATTTTGGTAGTATTAATTCATGACTACGTGACCTAACAGAATGTTCTAGAAGGTTCCATGGTATGCATGTTGGAATGACTCGACATTCTAAAAATTTCTAAATAATTTTTTACAGTAATTATCATATCCATATTACTACAACACTACAATGTTTTGTCTACCCCTAAACTGAATGATCTTCTTGATTCCGATTATGTCATACTTGAGTCATCATACGTCATTTTACGCGGAGCCTATGATGACGACGATCAAAACATTATTGAACTACACGCGCTGCTCAATGGCTTACTCAGTTAGAACTTCTCTCATAATTAATTCTTTTTTCCCCTGGCTTCTCCTTGTTGATTTCTCAGCTCTTAATTTTCCAATAAGAAAACTTGTATCTGCGACGTCAAGGGTGTACATGAGTCTTTTCGCCTCGAATTATTACGACGTTTTTAGTGTCACGGAATGAAGCTCAGAACTTGCCCTCCTGAGGAAGCCTGCCATCACGGACAATCTTCTTCTGTCAGTCCCTCCAGTCTAGGGAATCTTGAGGTTATTAAAAAAGAACAAAGATCATTAGATAAGACGGTGCTTCCATGGATGAAAAGAAGTGGTCTGCCAAAAGTTTGTAAGACCAACCTTTGAACATGCTTTCTCAAAGAATGCCACGTAAACTAATTCATTTATTTCGAGATATAAATCTCAAGGGTGTAAGTTGAAAAGCTTTTTACGAACTGATCGACTACCATAAGAGAACTTCAGGCCTCATTGTCACAGGAGTTAAAATCTTAAATGAGTCCTTAGCGTCGGTGGGCTTTCAGTTAGAAGTAAGTCAGTGTTTCCTGAGAGGTTATGATGGGGTCCAACACTTACTGGGTATATATGAGCGAAGGCCGCTACCGCCGTCACCATCACCATTAGAGTCAACATCATCGTCATCGTCATCGTCTTCATAATCGTCATCATCTTCATCATCGTCGTCGTTGTCATCACCACCATCATCATCCTCGTCGTCGACATCACCATCGTCAATATCATCATCGTCATCACTATTATCGTCCCCTCCGTCATCACCGGCAGCATTATCCCCACCACCACCATCATAACCCTCCCAAACAATCGCTATTACCTCTATAATCAACGCATTGTTCATCTCCGCGATAACGATAATGACAATCATCTTTTTCCTCTTGGTTGTACCGCCAAAGCTTATATGCAGTCTTCGTAGACTTCAGATAATCATGACAACCCTCTAAAAGATCGGAAGGAGATAAAAAATGCTGATCGCAAGCTGAAGCCTTGATGTCCTCAAAGGAAAAGGTCACTCGAAAAATCGCATATTTTTCGTAATCACCAGTTAATGGTTTACACTTAGCCATCGCTTTATTAGCTTCCAGAGTTGGTCCTATCCTAGTGAAAATCCACTTCAAAGTGGTCAATGCGCGCTGCCATTTTGAATAGCTAATAAGCTTAGCCGGTGACGTCAAACCGTCCAACATTTTATCGATCGTGGTCATGGCGACTCATAAACCGTATCGTCTCAAGCCAAAACGAGCTCAAAATCTGGACAAAAACAGTGACGGAGATGGTAAAACAGTAATATTCTTGAAACCATGGACAGCTGTTCTTGTGTATTTTTTCTCTATGTTTATTTTGTTGCTTGGCAAAACGATACGAAAGGTAAACACCCGAAAAGCGTGGGGGGTGATAAAGTGATAGACGGTTTAACGTCACTAATTAGCTTTTCAAAGGGCGCCGTCATGCAGATATTAAAATTTTTGGAATTCCTGTGGTGGTTGAATGACGTCTGTGACTCCTTTGTGGTTATTCTGAAAATAGTCGTCTTAAGCCTTTCGTCGTTTTCTCTAATAAAAAGGTACTCACCTGATTAATTTTCTTGTAACAACCCGAGTTAGCTTTCATACTGCCAATTGTATGTCACAATATAACATTTAAACGCAGAGTAGGAATAAGAACGATCGCGTGATCATCGCCGAAAACAGAGACGTAAATTGGGACCCCCAGATTGAGCTCCGCCTATTTAAATAAGCATGTCTAGACCATTTCCGGGGTGTGAGATGTCCAACTGCGTCTTTATAACGTGTACTTTGACCAGTGCAGAAGACATTCGGTTACAGAACCACTTTATTAGGAAACTATTTTACTAGTCATGAGAGTAGATGTCAATGAATCCTAAATTTAACGAGGTTTAGTCGTGATCATGCCATCATGGATTGTTCTCGACTACTGACGATATCAACATTTTTTTCAAATGCCTGTCATTCCACATGCCGCTGACACCAGTTTACATTTTAACGACAAAAAGTGTTGGAAAGTAAAACTGATTTTGTCTTCTCGAGAACAAAATCACTTCCTTTTTCGCTGAGATTTCATCTTTAATAAAAATCAACCCTTCCTACTGCAAACTTTTGGCCAATTCAATCTCGTGACTTAGAAAGCGGAAACAAATACAAAAGTGATTGCAAATCATTTTACCAGTAAGAAATTTTCAAATGGTATCCTCCTTAGAGAATGAAATATTTGTAAACAGAATGATTATGAACCTGTTAGTAATGTTAGACGAAGGCAACATACGAATTAAATGCAATCGCGTGATTTCTTTTTGCAATCAACTCTCTCGCCACAATCAACAGCGTGGGTCACTAATTACGACGCCAAGTTGTTATCATTCATTGCAACGCTTCATTGTTTGAGTCGTTTCAGGCAGAATATACACAATATTTAGGTAATTACTAAAAAGCTGTTAGATTATCGGATTCTTGTTATGAGATTTTTCACACTTACCTAGAGCACAACTTTGCCTTGTGCAAGAAGTTACCTTGAGACTTCACGGTTGCTTGAAGCCGTCTAAAATATTCATGGTTGTCGGGTCGAGGTCGACTTCAACCTTGCCGTGTCAAGATCAAAACGAAATATCTGGACTTTTTACTGATTTGCTATCCGTTTTATTGGGCTCCTAATTATCTATTTATTTGTTTTCCTATCATTTTTTTTGCAAGATTTTAGTTTTTCATTCAGCACGGTTCAGTACGTAATTAATGTAGGCTTCTTGGATAAATAAAGGGAGATCAAAGCGAAAAGTAGCAAAATTTAGGAAGAAACCAAAGAAATGAATGGCACCTCTTTGCATTTTCTGTTTCAGGTTCCTTAAATAACAAAGCTGTCCTAAAAATGATGCTGTCGGCCAGCCGACGATAAAGCAAACTTATTTATCTTTATGGTTAAAGTTTTTCCTTCGAAATTGACCTTTGTGCTCACCAAGAAATGCAAGTGCCTGCTTCGAAACTAACCCTAGTGAAGTGGAAGAACTATCTTGCAGCGTTCGAGGGTGACAGTCAGAAAGTCTTTGCGGTCGAACGTTCCACCTACGTCAAGAAATCCAAAGCAATTTACAGCTCTTTCCGAAAGATGAACTCAAAAGCCAGGGCCCAGTACCGAGACACGTTTTCAATGGTAAACTGGAAAGCTCTTAATACAGCGCAGAAGAAACAGCACACACTGTCAAATTGTGGAGGTTGTCAAGTGCACTATTATGCCATCCATAATTTTTTCCCTAGTGGAGAAACTTTCAAAACCCGAAAACTATTAAAAGAGGCCCTTATTGAAAGTGGGGTGAAGACACAAAGTAAAGTGAATCCAACGCAAAAAGCCATTAAAACTGCTGTAAAACACATTTATTCAAAAGTGAATGGCCACTTTGAGAAAATATTTAAAATAAGCTTTGCTGAAGCACAAACAAAAGTGAAGGAACTTCAGCTCCAAAAAAAGAAAGACGCAATTGAGAAAAAGCGGCAGCGTCGAGGGAGAGCACGCCAAGAAAAAAAATAAAATCCAAAGCTAATGTCTAGTCTATCTGGAGGAGGAGTAATGTTTCAAGTTACTTTGCAGTAATTTGCATGCCAAACAATGAGATCAACAGTCTTCACCTTTACTTGTGTTGCAATCTAGCTTTTATTTAAGCACACTCTCTATAATATATTTGCCTTCATTTTCCAGTTTTTTAA